CGCCTTTACGCACAGCTTACAACAACAGAGCATAGCAGATGCACCTCCTGTGCCTGACAAGTAAGAATTTCTACTTTGCTTTGGGACATTAATATTTCAAAGTGGGCTGCTTACATGTTGGTTCAGTGGCATGCTGCTTTGTGTTTGTTAGGTGCTGTAGGTTGACTTATAGAATTTATTCAGGATCTTTTTCTTCAAAGTGATTTATCTATTGATCATACCATGCACTTTCATAATTTAACATTACAAAATACATCGATTCACTCTGGAAATAGTGTGGATAGATTTTGTTGTTAATAGAGAAATTAATTACAACTCCGTGCCAAAATCATGTAAGTGAGACCAATGTCATGTATTACAGAAACACCGCTCCCAGTACAAATAACAATCTTCCCCCAACCAAGAAAAGTCGTCCTCCCCGTCCCATGTGCAAAAATGATGTGATAGAGTGGTTCAAGAATGTTGAAAGGATTAAAGGTTCGGGCATTGATCCTTTAACAGGGAAAACAGCAGAGTGGTTTCATGGTAAGTAACAGAGAGAAATGATTTAGAGGTTTGATAAAGGACACAAATCTTTATAATAGATAGAAGGCAACATGAGTTAGTGAAATTGGCCATGCACCTTGTTTTGTGATGTTTGCTTATTTGTATCACTAACTGGCATGTTGGAGCAGTTATGCTAATTTAACAAATTTGTAAGTTGCTTACTTCCATAAAAATATGATAGAAAATATTGGTGAGTAGTACAATAATGCACCTTCAAAACACCACTCACAAGTTAAGCAGCAGATCGTTTTTAACTGCAGAACATAATTTTATCATGTTATATCATATTTTTAACTTTTACAGTTTCTGTTTGGCCATTTTTAATAAGCTGTTGAAACAAATTATCAACCAATTTGCCTGTCTAGACATTCTTCTGTAAAAACAACTTTACATTATGAGATTTATTACAAATTTTTACCATTTTAAGAAGTTATTAACCACCTCCATTTGCCGTATAAAATTGATTATATTCTAAGGCATTTCAAATTTGGCATAAGTAAACTAAACTGCATTATTTCACACCTTCACATGCCCTGTACAATGGGCTTAAATCTTTCAGTTGTTTGGAAACACAATGTCAAATGGCAGATTTGTCTGGTTTCAGTCTCGTTAAGTCATGCCAATGTGAGCTGTTTAAAGTGACGTTAATTAAAATCTTTTCTTATACTGTCTTTGTCCTTTTCTCATTTTGATACTCTCCAAATTGCTCCCCTATATTCTGTTATAGGTGTAATATCAAGGCAGGATGCGGAGGACTTGCTAAGAGGACAAAAAGTTGGAACCTACCTAGTACGAGTCAGTGAAAAAGTCTGGGGCTACACTATTTCATACAAAGCAATTGAGAGATGTAAACATTTCCTTATAGACACTTTGAATGATGGGACATACCAGTTTTTTGGCAGCAATCAATTAGTTCATAAAAATTTAGCAGATATGATAGAGTTCCATAAGGTAAGTTTTGCCAGTTAAATTTGCCAGTATGTTGCCTGAGTGCGTGATTCTACAAACCCTTCAAAGTTTTTAGGTGTGATTAAGACAAGAAGATTAAGACACTATATAATCTTATAACTATTTAGGACTGTATCATTGCATCCACCATCTGACACATCTCTCTTGTTCATCCTGTTACTACCAAACTTTATTTTATTTTTGTTTTGCTCTTTTTCTAAAAATTATTTCTCTAATTACTTGGAAAGATCACAGACAAAATTTAAAACCTTTCAAAGTTATTTTACATGATTAAACGAAGCACTTAAGGTTTTGCCTTGGTGTGATTCTCAATGCACTATTTTAAAAAATTGCAAAAAGTTGAATATTGCAATAAATAAAGATAACCTTTTACTACATGACTATATCACTGTTTATATAAATATGTGCATTTTTTTCAGACAAAACCTATATCTGGCATAGGAAAAGAGCTGTTACTCCATCCATGCAAACAGAAAAGTGATCCCCCAGACTATGCAGAGCTGTTTCAAGAAGAGGACAGGATAACAACTTTCTTATGAAAACAGTTATCAAATGATTTTCATACTTATACATACATAACTGTACACTCTGTTGTTGAAGTGTTGCTCACATTTAGTCTGATACTCAAACTAGAAAATTGCTTATGAAGTTTGGCTGGAAAGAAATTTTAAACAGATTTTGACAAACTCAGAATAAGAATAGACCCTTCAGATTTGTGGAAAATATGGAAATATGCCATTAAAAACGCATTTGATCAGTTGATTGCAGGGTAGAAGGACATTATTTTGGAGTTTTTTCTAACATTTTACTGGTTCCTTGAAATTATAAAAAAACATGGTCATTGGAATACCTTCCTTTGGTAAAATTCAAAATGTCATTAATTCTGAATGTTTAAGTTTTGTAAAGGGCGAAGTTTACATTTTGCTAGAGTTAGTATTGAGAAGTCTTATTTAATGTACTGTATATATTTTATATAGTGTCTATTCATGTCCTATTTCAAATATATGCCTTGGAAGTTTTCATATTACTGAAGTATAATGAGTGATGAGTATTACTCATTGACCACACTTTCTGTAGAAATCTTCAAAATGTCTCTTTAAACCCTCTGGGTTTAGATCTGTATTTAATGTAAAGTAAACAGCTGATAATTACAACTGCTTAATTTATTAATCATATAATATGTTTGACATTAGAACATGTATCAAAAGATTTCTCATTGCGTACAAAAGTTAGGTCTAAGTACTTATTGATATTTCTAATTCAAGTTCTGTAGTGTACTGTTTTACTTATTTTACATGACTATTGGAGTATGTTAGGCATGCTTATTTAACTAATAGACATGTGGAAGTTTTTTCCTGTCCATTATTGATAGTAATTTAAAGAAAGGTCAGGTGAATCTGAAATCTTCTATAAGTTCAAAACCTTACACTTGTTGACAGGTAATTTCAGATTGGATGCCTACCAGGTAATATTGTATTTCTTTTTGTAATTTTGCAAGATTTTCAGTTATAGCAGTTATTTGTGGTTAGATATGTAGTAATTTAAATCATTCATATTAGTAAGATTTGTCACACAGGCATTCAGGAATGAGTTATATATGTTTAAGGTTATTCATGTTCAGTTTGATATAATTTGCCTTAGCTGATTTTGTAAACAATTTCCATGACAACCACCCTGGTTTCTTATCAGATTGATGGGCTACTTGCCTTCAGAGTTACTAGCCTTTATGTGCATTGACAAAATGAAGTGCATTGGGGCATATTGATATGTACAAAGAAATAACTGTGCAATTGAAATACCCATGTTTAAATGAGGTATTTTCTAATCAAAGTAATCAAAAGGGCAGTGGATGTCTGCTTTCAGAAACCAACTGATGGCAAATAAAATGATCTGATGATGAAGCAATTTAGCAATATTATGTTGCAATTTACTTCATATAGAGTACAACTTGTTATATTGGCAGTTACTGTGCAGGCCTTACAAGGACAATACCAAGTGCTTTAAGGTCCTGTATCAGGTTTTCACCCCCTTCCCCAGTTATTTCCAGTAGATAACTTTTGTTTATTTGTAATGAAACAATTTTTTTGTTTTTGAAGTTCAAAAGATTTTAAGTCTACCATCAGGGATTTTTCTTAAATTGCTTTTCTCCTGAAGTGGCAATTATGTTGTGCTTGTGTAAATAATCGAAGTTATATTTGTAATAAACTTTTTTTATGATATAAAAAGTTTAAGAAATAGCATCTTCAAGTGAGATAAGTGTAGAAGGATGTCATACGTATCTGTATATTTTGCTGCTGCTGTATATTTTAAGATGCTTGAAATGATATTTTGCAAGGGAGTTTCTACCGTCATTCATATGTCTGTGAAACAACACACAATCCCAACAGTTCAGTGTAAGAAAAATGCTCAGCATTTAAAGATCATGGTTATTTGTACATGCTGTATAATTGAGTCTATGAGTCTGCTTTCAGGTTATCGAACATTTGTAATATAGGTATTAAAAGAAATAGACCAGAGTTAAAACTAATAATTGTTAATAGTACAAAATTCCTTTTTTGTGTAATTACAAGTTCTGTAGTCTTAAGACTTAGACCCCATTCCCACATATTTTAGATTGATCTATCCCTGTGTGGAGTCTCACTAGATTACTGTCAGCTTAGCCGGCTTAAATGTCTAAAAGCTGTAAGGGGGTAATTAACTCTCGTGCGCGCTCGGCTGACTGCAATTTAGCGTGAACCCCCAGGGAGTTAGGTCGATTCGGATAGATCGATCTAAATCGCTGGGAATACACTCTTAATTTCTCTGTTTTAGGTTGCACAGTAATCAAGAAACGAACATAACTTTTGTGTGCATTACGTTGTTTTAACAAAATGGAATCACATAAATGATAGGTCATCATCTCGGCAGTATTTTGCTCATCTTAGTCATCCATTGATTATTGAAATAAAATACATAACAATTTTTTATTTGTTATTTATTCTCTGAATCCTTCCGGCAGGTTTGAGAAAAAAATTAATTACACAGTTTTTCTTTTCAATTATTTTATTATACCTTATTTTATACATAATTCAAAGTGATAATTGGCACAGAAAAAGGCTTTCTGTTATTGCATGAATCATATCAATCTAAAGGCACCAGTATGTTATTTAAGTTCTCTGCCATGGAGGAAATTTCACAATGATTTGATGGTCCAAATATTCTGGGCTAAGGTGGTTGTGGAGACGGTTACTGTCAATCCCCGTACTCAAAATTTACCAAACCATGGCATTTACATCACAATAGAAAGGTGAGCGAATTACATCTGTCTGAACCAATTATGTCCTGGGACCATTCTGCAGTGAGGGATTTTAAGACACTTATGAAAGATTGATTAAATAATCTGAATCAAACAAACGCTCACAAACTTTCCATTTTATGGATTAATCAAGAAGACCATAAAGATTCGCCCGTCTTGTGAGGATGATTTCAACAACTTCTCTATCAAAATGCACCCTACCTGTGGTCATTTGCATAACAATACGACGCTCAGCCTAGAGCGAGTTGTCTTTCAGAATAATCATTTGACGGCTGGATTCTGTAAGAAGTGGACGCAAGATAGGTGTGGTGAAGTCGCAAGGCCAAACATTTCTTTCAGTCCGGAACCAAATATGTCTTGTGAGTAACAATTCATTTACAACCACGTACCAAAATTGTATACATGTTCGTCCAGTGTGCACAACTCTTAAGTGTACATGTATGACTCTCGTAATTTGAAGGTACAGGCTAATGATTTGAAAATCCCTCAAATGCTTATTTTTGCCACCACAGCTTCTTATATACCTTAAATACACCTTATAAACGATTTAACCCCTTAAATAATTTTTCTTGGGCGTACATGACCTGATGTTAATATCCCTTAGAGCTTAGGCAGATGGTCGCTGGTTAGGCCTATACATTATGGCTGGTCAGTCATTTTAAACTAAATAA